GACCAATCTGCTAAAATTAACCAACTTACTCAGCATATCCAAGAGTTAGAAAGCAGAGAGAGAGAGAGAGAGAGAGCAAAAATAACCGAGGAGCCGAAGGTATTAGAACAATCAACTCATAATCTCCAAGAAAACTTAACAAAATTTAATGAAGCTGGTAGGATTATCCGAGCAAGAAAGGAGGATTGTAAAACTTTACAGGAATGATTAGATTGGAGATATCCAACTAGGAAAGACAAGGAGAAAGTGAAAAATTTATTTGTTAGTTATTATTGCCCTTATTTTTACCAAAAATCAGTCCAATTTAAAACCGAACCAGCCGAATTAGATTTAAGAGAGTTTAAGAATGTAGAATATATTGATATCGAGAAAAGAAATGTTACTGTTTTAGATATAACTGGTCTTGATAGAATTACAAGAATGATGCTTGACGATCTTTATGACCCTCGTTACAATCCAAGATCTAGACCATATAAAGTAAAAGGTTATACCAAAGAATTGGCTTGACGATTATGAGAAGAATATTCAGGAAGAGAAGGAAACAGAATAGGTATCGAAGGAATTGAAAAACTAACCAGCTTTTCAGATTTAGATGATTGAGTAAGAAATTATGATGTTAGTAAAATTGGTAATGCTGAATACCATTTGAAGTTGGGTGAAGAAATAAAAAAAAGTCGCATTGATTGCATTTTAACCACTCAAACATTAGACAATCTCTCCAATAAAATAATTGCTCGCAATCTAATAATTGCTAACCGTTTAGCCGATGGAATAGATAAAGAGTATGAAGACTGGGTAACTAGTTTAGGTAATCAAGCTGGACAGTGTATGGCTATGAACCCCAAAAAAGGTTTTACTAAAACTCAATACCAAGAGGCTGTAAACAAAGCCCTCTCCGGCGACAAAACCCTCCTCCAAAAACTCCAAGACCTCCCCTATCTAAAAGAGGAATTTAGACTAAAAGACCGCTAAAAATAAATAATATATGCCAAAATCAACAATCACCGGTAAATCTCAACTAATCCAAAGAATCTCCAAAAAAACTAAATTCCCGCAAACTCAAATCACTCAAATAATCGATGAACTCTTACTCGAAACCAAAAAAGCCTTAGTCAAAGGTGAAGAAGTCCGCTTACAAGGTTACTTCTCCTTAAAAACTGCCATTACTAAACCAAGAATGGCCATGAACTTACAAACTAAAAAGAAAATGAAAGTTCCGGCTAAAAGAGTACCCAAGTGTAAATTCTCAATTAGTTTAAAAGAAGAGATTAGTAAAAATAAATCTAAATAATGAACCATACTATCAAATCCACTATTAACTAACGCAAAGAATTATTAGATAAGAATGGTAATCAATTGCCAATCAACTAAACCCCCAGTCAAAATATTTTAACTTATGAACGATCAAGAATTAAAAAACAAAATCCAACAACTAATCAACCAAAAAGAAAAGCAAAGTAAGCATTTTTTAAATGTTTTTACCCAACACCAGGAAGAAATCGGAACTTTAAAAAGATTAAGAGATTTTGAAGGAGATGAAGAAATATTATTGGCTATTTTAGGCTGACTAAGTATTAAACATAAACGACCTAAACTCACTAGTGAAATTAAAGAAAATTTACTGGAAACTATGGAAAAAGAAGTTTCTTTAATAGAAAACAATAATCTGCTTACTCATTAACTAACGAGCAACTAGTGCAAGATTTAAGGCAAGAATGGAGCCAATTTATTAGTGGACTATGAAATTGAGATAAAATAGTTTATATGTATTTAATTTCTCAAAAATAGATTTAAACGCTTTTTATTACTAATATTTGCTTTACTTTTTGGAGATAAAGAGAGTTTAGAGTTAAAAAGTAAAAAAACACCAAAAACAACTAATATTATGGCAACTAGAACTATTAAATTAAAACAATTAAATTTAAATCCTTTAAGTGTGGCTAAGTATTTTTATGAAAAGTTAGGAGCAAGAGGAATAGAACAACCTTTTATCCATCCCGTTCTTTATCTTGCTTACCGCGAAATACTAAAAAAAGAAAATATTAGTCTTTTTAAGGAAGAATTTGAAGCTTGAGAAACCACTCCCGTTCTTCCCAGTGTCTTTACTTACTTAGATAAAAATAATAAACCAACTTTTCGCCAAGTTCCTAACCTTACTAATGAAATAATTATTCACCATCTAGAAAATATTTGTCATCGCTATCAGCAAAAATATAAAAATGGGGGATTAGAATTATTTACTTGTGATTTGCAGTTTAAGGCTCAAAAATTAGCCGGCAATTTATAATTTATGTTATTTTCTTTTGAATGATTGATTACCAAATGCATTAACGACCCAACCTTTACTAATCGCTTAGAAAAGTCCAAAATTCGCAGTGTTCTATCAAGAATACTAAAAAAGTTTACCGAGTATTCGGCTTATACCTTGGAAGAACTAAAAGAGAATGACCGACACTTTCGCTTTATTACTAATGAAAGCCAAAAAAAATTAGTTATTGAAAAAATTAGTAAGTATCACTGAGATAGGAAAAACATTGGCTCTTTGTTGAGGGTTAGTCAGATTTGTCAATTATCCTTAGGAGAAGAAGAAAGAGCAATAGGAATTCTAAGAAGAATTAATACTTCCCAAAATCATCCCGAAAGAAATCATTTATTTTGACCTTTGCATTTAGACTTTGAGCATGTTCGCCATTCTAATTTAAAGAAAAAAGTTATTAGTAAACTTGATTTAGTTTGTATCATGGAAGAAGGAGACTGCCATTAAATTTTCCCCATCATCCCCAAAATTTACTCAAATTTAACTTTTTTAACCAAAAATCTATCTAAAAAAAACACCCCTTTTTTTGCTAATAAAGATTTCTATTCAGGACTTGATAATAATCTTGATTCAGAAAATGGCTCTCCTGACCTACTAAACAAACTATTAAAAAGAAAATATAGCACTGATAAATCCTTGTAAAAGAAAAATTATCTAACCCTAACTCAAGTAAAAAAATATAGCAGGCTCTCACTAAAAAAAGTCAACTTGCCAGCTCTCCCCTTTTCAGGGCAACTGAAATAAATATTACTTGAGTTCTTCCTGGTATAAGAAATCTCACAAATTATGAAACTCATTTATGAGTTCCTCGTAGAATAAAAAATGATATGAAACTAACTCAGCAAGAACTAGAACAAGCTTACCAAATAGTAAGTCAAGATTTAGTTTACAACTTAGCCAAAATCAAAGATGGAGAAGGTATTCAGTTAGATAACTTAGGAACCTTTATTAAAAAGAAACAAAAGATTAAGGATTGGAATAAAAAAAGCCATACTTACTGACGGATTAGTTTTCGAGCTTCTCAAAATCTCAAAAAAGTATTAGATAAATAATTATGGATAAGAAAATATTACTATTAGTAGTGGCGGTCGCTTGTGTCGGTCTCTATTTTTATGGTCAACAAACCAAAGACAACCAATACTTTAAGTATTTACCGGTAGTTGGAGGTTTAGCCTTTGGCTTAAATACTCTAGTTCAATTAGCCCAATAATATGAAAAATTACCAAAATCAGAACTTAAATAAAAATAATCAAACTGGTAGTCAGAATCAACCGGATAATTCCCAAACTCAGTCCAATTTAGGTAATCAGTTTAGCCCTCAGCAAAATAAA